ATATGTTGTTTAGCTTATCTGCTGTATCATTCTTTCTTCAAAACAAATTAATCTGTTCATTGACCCTGTGATTCATTCACTTAGTTCACTAGTTTCTCTTAGCTAAACAAAATTCAGTTTATTGTTCCAAGTAACAAGAACTTACTAGGTCTTGTTGACTGGATTTATTATATTATTATAAGTCCCTTGGGTTCTTAACGGAACATAGGGCTTCAGTAGAACGTCTCCAGTGAACTCTGTTCTCTGAAATCTTTTGAACCTGGCTCCACCACAGCTCACAAGCTCTCATGTCCTCCTTGCATGATCTCCTCCATGTCACCCTCAACTCAGACGCCAAACTCGTCGCTTCCTCTCAGGGTTCCACTCGAGTGCCTGGCCTGACGCGTGTTGTCTCCAGTCGGTCTTCTCAGTGTATGCCCAATCCATCTCCACTTCCTTCAACTGCATATTTTTTTCAGCGATAGCTTCTTGGTTGGTTCGTTGACAGCCAGAGTTCCTTGTTGCTTATTCTTATTATTTCTGGCCATCTGATCTTCAGTAACAAGCCAGCGTAGGTGGCAGTTGTTGATGAATGTGTGTGTAGTTTGTTGGAAGTCCCTTTCGTAACGCGCCAAGACTCTGAACCATCACAAAGAAGCACTGACTTGACTGACGTTGGTGTTGAAAATCCGGATCTTGTTCCACATGCTGAGTAGAGTGCAGAAGATCTCCACACTGGTTTCAGGCAAATAAACACCTGTCTTGCTTTTCCGATCCTGACTTTGGCGTCCTCGTCTGTGCCGCCACCTGTAGTTGAAACAGTGCTTCCTAGATAGGCAAAGGAGGTTACTTCCTTTAAGTTTCTCCCGTTGATGGAGATTGGAGTTCGTTGTTGGTGGTGGTGCGGTATCTTCATCACCTCTGTCTTCTCTATGTTCACTTGAAGTCCCGTCTTCGCTGCCTCTTCTCTCAACTTGTTAGTTTTCGCCTGTAGATCTTCAAGTTTATGTGACATCAGGCACAAGTCATCGGATAATAGGAATAAAAAAATTTTTATGGTAGCTGTATTCAGCGAAACCTACAGTAATGTGAGTGCACTTTTGGCAACATAAGAATAAAAGTGAAAGCAGTCAAATGAATAAACTATATTCACAGAGAAAAGTAATTTGACGGGATAAAAAATTCGACCAATCAGCAAAATAATCGAAATAGGAGTAACAGATAATCCAAAGTAGTATTCATCATGGATTGACGTCAGTTGCAGAAAATTTGAAAACCTAGAAGCACTGGATGGCTGTTTCGTCTTAGTATGAGACTCTTCGGAAGTATTTACCTACAACCCCACCAAGGATTGAACTCAGAACCAACAGGTCTAGTGGTTGGTGAGTTAACCATTCAGCTACGCAGTCAAAGTTTGGTGGGTCACAGTTTCCCACTTTTGTCAATCCTCGATACAATACGACTGTCATGCATGATAAGTACTACCTTGAAACAAATAAGTATCAACAAACCTAAAACTAAATAACAAATAATTTTATAAGAATAAAATGTTCTAATACGTTCAAAATCAGAATGTACAAATCACTGACTTCTAATCGACCAAGTCACAAATCTCTCCAGTCGTATAGATCTCAATAAGCGGAAACTTAGATTTTCCCCAACAAATTAACTTTGGTGACAAACAGTTTTCTGTTTCCTAGTCAACCTCAGACGTTTTATGTTCACTTCACTAACATTCATAGAATGTTATACAACATAAAAGATTAACTAAGTTAAGGAAGGACCTTCATAACTAGCTTTTTAAAAATACTCTCAAACTGATATAATCATTCAACTTACAGATGCTCAAATAGTAATAATCACATTTATTGTAAAAAGACAACTGAATGTACATTAACACCTAACTTATGCTTTAAAACTATTTGCTAGATATTACATACGAATAAAATTAGTAAACATTCATAGATATTTTACCGTCAATTTTTTTCAGTTTAATTAGCATTTGTTCGATCAAAGTAAGGCGCTTAGGGACTATAGCACAGTGTAGCTCCATATATGATTCTTTTTCCTGATATAGTCCACCGATGATACAGAGATATCACCGATAAAATCAACGAAGAAGAAGTGGTTGAATTTTACAATGTCAAGAAGATGCACTATTACATCCATGATTTGATTATGGGTAAAAACATTTTGCTTTAAACGATACACAGCAAATAATATTGTACCACTGTACTGTACTGTACCACTGTATATAGGACTGCTGATTTTAGTAGAAAACTGAGAAATGTTTCTAGAATTATTAAAAGTGGTGATTTAGACACTAGTGGTAAGACAAGGGTTAATGTGGGATTCCAATAACGGACTGAACTCCAGCGGCCATGGTATACAACCTTGCATGTTTCTGCGGTAAAGATGAATCTCAACGCGTGTAGCATGCTGGCGTTTAGTGTACACAAAGCCTTCGTCTTGCCATAAAAGTGCAATCTTGCGTAAATTTTGAAATGGTTCTGCAAATTAGACGTCTGTGCTGGTAAGCAATTACGTACTTGTTTCATCACTGAAGAGCAACAAATTTTATGTTATCTAGTCTCGAATGCTGATCGATGGAGCATTTTGCAGTTTGGATATCAAGCTGGGGGGCTCATTATCGTGGTGTACTTTGATGGGTGTTACTTGGTTGGAGGAAATCTACAGTTAGTCCTAGAACTAGGTTTCGTGCTTGTTGGGACTCGTTGGCAAGGCGTATATGTATTGTGTCCCGGAATCCTTAATGGCAATATCGCTGACTCCGACACTGTGTGATGCGGGTTCAAATCTCAGACGGGACATCAATCCCCTTGAGGTTGCAGATACGCCTTGCTGACAAGTGCAAAAAAGCACAAAACCTGCGTTCAAGGTTTCCAATCGACTCCCTTCAACTAACTAAGTCCTCACTATACTAAGTAGTCGGCCACTTTATTCTTAAGTTCTACTGGTATAGCTTGTTTACTTGTGGGGTGATCATGTGCTTTGAAGATTAGTGTGGTCAGATAAGAGAGTCAATAATTGTCCAACACATCATTTTGAGCATTTTTCAGTTGCTTCTAGGTGCACCATAACTACAGATATCAAATTCCTTTAAAAGAAATTTCTGTTCATTCGCAACCACTCGCATCTCAAGACAAAACTTTGTGAAGGTAAAATTACACTTCTCCAGACATATGTATGAATAATGTGAACATAAAGTCTAAATGTGGCTAGTCAATTCATGATGTTTTAAATACTGAACACTTGTTTCTCTATAATATCATAACACTGGGTGATTATGCGGCTTAAATTGTGCTTAAAACGTTATCTACTAGACAAAACTGTTGCACCATGCCACATACAATAAAAGAACTGCTGTGGAAATTCGTACTTACGTTTACTGAAGCTCTGTATGTACAAAAACTCAGTCATTTTTTGTGAATTCAATTGCAAATTTACCCTTTGATAACTTTTCTGCCATTTTAGTACCGAATTTGATAGAGAATTTTACTACTTACCTTTTGTCATCCTTTGATTTACAAGTTTCACCCTATTCTACTTTCACACTTTTTTAAAAGTGCTTTGACAAGTAAATTTGTGGTCAAATTATTCGAAATGTATGGCGCCATTACAATATATATTGCAAATAAATGTCGTTTTCTTATTACATCATTCAAACTCATCAAAAGATGTAAGCAGACTTTCAAACAATCTTTCCAGCTGGTTTCCTAACCGTGCTTTTACACCCATGAGAAGTTGAAGAAAACTTTAAAACGGCCCCAGTTGTAGTGCTCAACAAATATTCGTAAGTTCTCATTCACATTCCAACTAGGAAAAGCTTACTGACTAAAATTATTTTTATTAGTTCTAAAACACCTCTTATTTCTCTATCTTGTCTAGCCTAGTAATTCAGTCAAATTCTGTTTAAAAAATTTTCTTACCATTTTTTACTATGTGGAACCTAAACATTGGTGTTAGTTACCTCTCAATAGAGGGATCCAAGTCAAAGCAAATGTTTCATGAAGGATTGTTACATTGGGTAGCAATACTTACTAGGATTTGGTTTCATGCTGTGAATTTTGAATCAAGAGTTCTCAAAAGTCTGATTTACACTGGTGTGACAGCTTCTGCCAACGTGTTCCATCGTCATCATAGACTTTGAAGTCTAACAGTTTGACGCTACACTGGAAAACATCTGCACTCATTCACTGGTTCAGAAGTCTATGTTCTGCAATTACCAGCTATCAATTTTGCAGCGTATTACAACAGTTATTCAGTGTCGGCTGTAAGCACCTGTCCTCTTTGTTGTCTTGGTCAGCTTCACACACTGCGACTTCCGGTTCAATAAATATTGAATAATATGGTTATTGGTCACTAAGTAGCAACAGTTAGACACAGGTTCCTTCGGTTACCAGAGATAAACTGATGTGGCTTTTAAATCCGCCCTGTGCAACGCTGATCATTTCGTGTAAATAGCCTAGTTCAGCAACAAATAAATCAGTGTCTGGATGGCTTATTAGCAAATATTCTGACTTCAGTCATGAGGGATGCAGGTTCAAATTTTCTGAGGGACATCACTGTAAAGATAAGTGATACGATGTATGTCAGCACAAAGCTCGATAGAAACTAGTATAACGCGGTAATCAAAAAATCCCAGAATTTCTTGCACTCCATGTTAGTCTAGCCTGCTGAGGTCACTCAGTTTATAACACTTGTGCAAACCTTCAATCGATAAGATTTGGAGTATTTCCTTAGTGAATATTCCCCACAAACACTTGTTGTACACGATCGAACTTCACGTAAGCAGCAATTCTCTAAATATGTGAAGTGGTACTTCTTCCTAACCAATTCACTATTTCTTCAGGACATAGGATACAGAAAAAGATATTGATTACATTAAACGGAAAGGTTATTAATGCACCTAAGTAACAGGAAGGTGTAACAATAATTGCTTAAAATGATGCCACCAACTCATATATATTAAAATGAATCAACCACTAAGGCCTACTTACTTTGTGAGTTAGATTGACGTTTATTCGATGAAGATGATGACCACTTTATGCAATTCATTTGTTCATTTAGATAGAATACTCGTTTATACTGACGTCCACTTGTATGAAGTTTAATCATTTCACTACCTTTACGCATGTAAGTGAAACAATCTGAAGCTGTATATAAACGAAAACAGAAAAGAAAAAGTTTACGTTAGATGAAAAATGAACAGAAGGACCTTGTGTTTCCTTGAAAATGGTAACAATAAAAATAACTGATGTGAATGCAAGTATATCCAAACTTGTTTGATAATGGCCTTCACGACTATTCTAATGGTACAATCTTATTTTTTCTATGTTTAACTCCGCACCACTTTTACTGAGCTGCGTTCCATTAAACATTTCACATTATTCAATAATTAGTTTATAGAACTGCTGATCTTCGAGTAAATTAGGCTTCATTTTTATTCCGTTATTAACTCATCGTAAGTTACGTTTCATGGGAGCTTTCATCATGGATCCATATAAGGTATTGAAAAAAATGTGCGTACTGGTTAACTGTTTGGTCTTAGTTTAAGTTTTCTCAGTGATATGCATCAAAGACCCCACTAGAAATGGATTTCGAGACCTTCAAAACACGACGAATACGTTACCATTGAATTACTATGGTCCCCTTTTCCGGCTTCTGATAACTCACTATGTATCACAGCTTCTATCTTCACATGCGACTTTTTGACTGAATAGATCAGTAGCGGTGAAGCAAACAAGGTAAAGTCAAAGTATTTTGCGAAATGTGCCGCAGTTCCAACGTTCGAAATCCGGTTTGATCACAGAATTCTTCGCATATAGACCTTTGTCTTTGAGATGGATATTACCAGTGGCCAGAGAACCTGGAACGTGATAGTGTATTTGATAGTAGTTTCTGACTTTGCATAAGTGATACTGAAGGATCTCGATTTTCAGAGCTTTGATACAATGATAACAAGCTCACATCGATATCTGAACAAAACAAAGATGCAGTTTATAATGAGATTAAAAGGAATTATGTTTGAAAGATTTATGCCGAAATGAAACAAATACCTGGTGCAAACTGATAGTCAGTCAGTTGTTATGCATCTACCGCAAAGGCTAGAATATGAACATAAGGTTGTCATCATCATTATTCAGTTTCATTTAACATACTAACCATGGATCCATGCTATTCTGGTAAAGCTAATGTTCTCGCCCTATGTGAAATATTTAATTTTGTCCCAACCAGTGACATTGTCGATCTGTAGCTTTGTTTTACACCTGGAACATAACTGAAAGCTTTTTATGTAAAACATCTACATATATCAGGATTCTTGGATATGTTTCACAAAATGTCTATATATACCTCCGACCGAATATGTATATTACGGTTTATTATTATTATTACTTGTCCCTTGGGTTCCTAATGGAACATAGGGCTTCAGTAGAACGTCTCCAGTGCACTGTGTTATCTGAATTCTTTCGAACCTGGTTCCACAACAGCCCACAAGCTCTCATTTCTTCTTCACATGATATCCTTCATGTCAACCTCGCATATGATGCCCAACTTGTCGCTTTCTCTCAGGGTTCCACTCGAGTGCCTGGCCTGACGCGTGTTTTCCCCAGTCGGTCTTCTCAGTGTATGCCCAATCCATCTCCACTTCCTTCAACTGCATATTTTTTTCAGCGATAGCTTCTTGGTTGGTTCGTTGACAGCCAGAGTTCCTTGTTGCTTATTCTTATTATTTCTGGCCATCTGATCTTCAGTAACAAGCCAGCATAGGTGGCAGTTGTTGATGAATGTCGGTAGTTTGTTGGAAATTCCTTTTGAAACGTACCAAGTTTCGGAACCATATAGAAGCACTGACTTGACTGATGTTGGTGTTGAAAATCCGGATGTTGTTCCATATGCTGAGTGCAGAAGGTCTCCATACTGGTTCCAGGTTAATGAATGCCTGTCGTGCTCTTCTTTCCTGGCTTTGACGTTTTCATCCGTGCCACCACCACCTGTAGTTGAAACAGTGCTTCCTTTATAGGTGAAAGAGGCTACTTCCTTTAAGTTTCTCCAGTTGATGGTGATTAGAGTTTGTTGTTGTTGGTTGGCTATCTTCATCACCTCTGTCTTCTCTACGTTCACTTGAAGTCCCATCTTCACTGCCCTACCTCTGCTATCAATTTGTTAGTTTTCGCCTGTAGATCTTCGAGTTTGTGTGACATTAGACACAAGTCATCAGCGAAATCCAATAGTGGTGTGAGTATGTCCGCCGTCGTACCTGCCTATTACGGTTTATTACATGACACTTATGCCTAACACACTCATATAAATATCCATCTTAGTAAATATATATGCTAAGATAGACTTGATATCTAGGAATTGATTCGCTATGATATTGAATTCTTTAACGTTTAATCCCAATATGTCATCTCCTTCGTTAATTCTAACGAACAAGACAAAAGTAATTAAATATGCTCACTTTCTGTTTGGTTGCTTTCGATATATTGTAACTCATCAGTGATGACCATATTTTGACGCATTGTTTATATTTCCTGGCATTTGTTTACAAAAAGAAAATAGATGTGCAATATATTGATTGGTCACTGGATGGTGACCAACTTCATGTTATCTAGTCCTAAGTGCTGCTACGACTCTATTGATCATTTTGTAATATGGCCACCATCCAACTAACATATAGACCACGTGAAGTAGGTTGCCCTCTACTGACTAATCAATATATTTAGTGCTGTCCAGTAGGAAGTTAGTAGCAATCCGCATAGCTAAGTGGTAACGACGCTGACTACACTACTGATTGACGTGGGTTCGAAACTCAGGTAGTATACCAGCTCCGACTAGGTTACAGGTGTGCCTTACTGGCAACTGCCAGCAGGCACGAAACCTAGGTCCAAGGCTTCCTGACGATTACCTTCATCCAACTAGCATCTAGGTAACCCTGGGCAATATACTGAACTTTGACATCTTGAACTCATTTAGTAGTTTAAGGTATCGTACATTGATTTCTCATTCTGTCTTTCCAAACTTACAATGAAATCAGTGCATTGGATGTGAATACGTATGCAACTCAGCGACCAAAGAAATTATAATTCATTAGACAAGGAACTGCACCTATTGTACGAAGGACGATGATATTATTTACTTGCCCAAACCTTGATACGGGAAGTTGGGCTGAAATGCGTGACTCATTGGTTGAAATTCAAACACTGACAAATCAGTCTAATTTCACAGAATAGGGTTATCAAACATAATAATTTGTAGCGTAGTAATAATCTCGAAATAGAGATTATCAAGAACAAAGATGTAGAAAAACCACAAAAAACCGAAGAGATAGTGTTGCAATTAAAAGAACTTAGGTTAAAGAGAGAACGATTGTTTCGATGTTGAGCCAGTGTATTGGTGACAAATAACCAAACAGAATCTAGTCAGTCATTGGGTGACTTTTGGAGAACTAACGAAATCGAAATTCTTGTTTTTCATTTTACACGTTAAATAATGCGACTTTCATTATTATTTTGATTCGTTCAGGAGAAAAAATTGAAATTTTTGAAGATAACTGAGAAGCATCGTTAATTAGGTTCATCGATAATTGGCAACCGGAACCAAAAATATTAAGGAAGGTTTCAAAGGACAACAAATTTTAAAAGGTATGATTTAGTTCTTGAAGTCCACTTTATAAGAACTTAAGCTTTATGACGCAAAAAAGACTTGATTTATTTGAAATTAATTGTTAGGGTCCAGGAACATAGATTTATGAATATGGTTTGCCTATAGAATGAACAACTTTGTGATCAACAATATAAATTATTAGTACTGTATACACTAGTCAACTGAGTTCAGACAATTAAAACTGACTAAAAAATCTTACAGACTTGGTATTTAGCATACGACTATCATGTGAAACTTGACTTTTCATTTTGACAAATGTATACTTCAATATCATTATACATCCATTGGTTTGACAGTGCGTTAGATGGCTCACCATCATTCAAACTGTATGGAATTTTTTCATGCTATCGGAATTTCTTTAGGTCAGTTGTCTCATTTTTATTTCACCCCGTAAATATTGAATCATAATTAGGAGATAGGATCTGAAATAGCTGTAATAAACTATTTTTCGACTTGTCCTATGTTATACTATTTATAGTGTGCAACATAAGTCTGTTAATGCCAAAGATTGATTACAATTTCATCTTTTTATGAACAACAACTAGCAAGAGTAGCGTTGAAAATTGAACAATTCACGCGAACACATTCATTGCATTTATTATAGTTTCTACAGAATGAAACAGTGTAGCTGTAAACATTCCAGGAATAAGGTACACTTCTTATGACTAGAAACATCCAGATGTTGATTGACTGAAGGAAATTGGCCGAAATCGTAGGTAGATCCAGGTTTCGTGCTTGTCGGCACCCGTCAGCAAAGCATATCTAAATCCCCAAGGAAACCGATCTCTCCTATGAGATCTGAACTCACGACACCAACTCCGGCAGTCAAGCATGTTACCACTGAACTATTTAAGCCGCTATTGTACTCCTTTAGGACTGGATCATCTAGTCTTGAGTGTTGATGAAAACCTGTTGATTATTTTGCTATGTAGTAACGAAATTAGGAAGATCATCATCGCGATGTACTTTGATAAATGTTAGTTGTATAGAGACAATAAGTAAGAAGTACTGGATCTAGGTTTCATACTTTTTGGCACTTTTCGGTAAAGCGTCTCTGCAACCTTGAGGTCCAGAGCTTCCGGATGTTTGCCTTCCACCTACTAACAGCCAACAATATGCACTGTGATGGTGAGCCTTCCAGTTTAGTGACCACAATGCGAAATGATCGATAGGATTTGGTCAGCACTAAAGGTTAGAGAACATGAAATCAGTTGCTCTTAAGTGGCCAATGAATGTGCAAATATCTAGACTTAGTAAGACATGTATTTTTCAATATTGTGAAAAAAAATCAATGTTAACGTGTCAGTTGTAAATAGTTTTCAATTCCTATTAGACAGGTTAAAAAAATAAAAAATATGGATTTATAATTTTTGTCTGTTAAGTAGTCTACATTTCTGTTGTTAGATAATGCTTGAATAAATGCCTTTTTCCTTAGATCTTAGTCAAATGGTATCGATTTGGTAAATGATTAAAAGTTAGGTATAAAATG